GATGAGCCTCTAAACTACTAATGTTTATTTAATATATATTATACATATGTATGTACTTATATATGTATATTTATTCTATAATGAGGAGAAAACTTGTGCCTTGTGCAGGCTAAACGTTCCCACCATGCTGTCCCAGCCCAGTGTCATTACATTAATTTAATGTACACTTCACTATGGATTGATCTTCACATTAGTTACCCTTGAATTCTCAAATTGTAAGTTTTAATTTTTAAACTTCTATATGAACTTACTGTATAATTTCTGATAAGATAAGCAGTGAAGAATTCGTGTATGAAAAGAAAAAATAAGTTAAGGATGTTGAATGTTTTTATAAACAAATAATGAATATTTCAATGAAAACATCGTCCACATTGGTTCATTTTCTTTCAGAAATTAGCACCATTATCTGCTGCCTCTCACACACCAGAGAATAATATATATCAGGAAGATATGCAAATACAGCCTTCTTTTGCTCAAGAAGCAGCCCTGCCCTCACCCCGCAGGTCAGGCAGAGGACTCTAGCCCTGTCTTCCCATTCAGTGAACAGCACTGAGAACACAACAATCAACATGGGGTTGGGGCTGCACTGGGTTTTCTTTGTTGCTCTTTTAAAAGGTAGATAACACGAGATGCTGAGTGTGTAAGGAGACATGAGTGAGAGAGACAGTAGACTTTGTGACAGTTTCTTCATCAGGATCCTCTCTGTTTGCAGGTATCCACTGTGAGGTGCAGCTGATTGTGTCTGGTGGAGGATTGGTGAAGCCTGCAGGGTCACTGAAACTCTCCTGTGCGGCCTCTGGATTCACCTTCACTGGCTATGCCATGAGCTGGGTCTGCCAGGCTCCAGGGAAGGGGCTGGAGTGGGTTGCTCGCATTAGAACTAAACCTAATAATTATGCAACCCATTACTCGGATTCAGTGAAAGGCAGATTCACCATCTCCAGAGATGATTCCCAAAGCATGGCCTACCTGCAAATGAACAACCTGAGAACTGAGGACACTGCCACTTATTACTGTGCAATCAACACAGTGAGGAGTCTGCAGTGTGAGCCCAGACAAAAACCTCACTGATAGGTTCTCATAGCCAGCAGGGGCGCACTCAGCACACATAAAGCCCAGGTTCAGACATAATTGATTTTTTTCTGTATTATCTAGGTGACCTCTCCATCCTCTGATTTTATGGGGATCCATTTTGTAATTAACGATGCTAGGAATTGATCATGCCTCTAAAATTTAGGACTTCTGCTTTGACAAACATTCTTAACACAAATATGCCACCTACTCCTCCCTGAAGAAAATACTGAAAGTCTATGAGGGAAGAGTGATTCTCAGTTGTCAGGCGTTGGGGAAGCTCTGGAGACTCACATGGACTTTTCCCTCATACTGAGGTTAGGGCAGACCCTCGACAGGAACATTGTTAGTAATTCAGAGGGAACCAAGTGGAAGTGGAGCCAGGCTCAGTCTCTGTAAGCATCTGAGTTGTCCAAACCACTCTCCTCTTCTGCACAGCTGTGCATATAATGCTAAGAAGTGATAACATTGAAATTTTATTATTTTCTTTACTCCATTCAACATGGTGTCTTCTGCTTCTCTGTTGAATTAGATAATTCTAGTTCTGACCTCTCTGTACTAACTCAGAGCTCAGCCGCTCACCTGGAGCTAAGGGATGGCTGCTGTGTGGTCTGGGCAGTGTCCTTCCTGTGAGCTTCTACTGTGGATTCTCAGATCCCGATCTGGTTGCCTTTGGTTATGAATCCATTCTCACTATATTCAGAAATTGTATGCTCAATCTGTCTCCAAGCCTCAGAGATTGAGCAGTTTTAAGTTGACGACACTGACCCAAGAGTCCCATGTTGGTAATAACGAGAGTGTATGCTTCTACCAGTATTGGGTAAATATTTTGGAAAAAATATTTTGATCGTGTGGAAATTCTCATATTTACTTGTAAAGAAAAACATGGATAAATACATGAAAGAAAACAACCACTCAAAACTCAAAATGAATTATAAGTTAAAATAGAGAAAATGTTATTTCCTATGATCATCTGGCTCATTGGAATGAAGCTCACAATCTGAGCACC